GGAGAACGAAATGGTGGTGTCGTTAACCGAACAGGTCGAGTGTGAATCCTGATATTGGTCGAGCCCAGGTTGAAGTTCGCCCTTAAAGCGATTTATTTATTGTCTACCGTTCATGGAAGAAGTTTATATTGAATTCGCGTGCTCGCGTTAGCCGGCCTAGTTTCAAAATTCCCCGCCATTTATATCGCCAAGTTCCTCCCTGACTCTTCCCTCTCCCTCCCACACCATCTTTCTCGCATCCCCCGTTTTCTTTCTGTCAGCCTTGTCTTCCCCCTGTGTGTGTTCCAGTTTATTATTCTAAAGCGTCGTACGGCGGACTATCGAATTGCACTTCTTTTACAATCCTTTTTTATTGATTGTTGGTAACTCCGTTGGCATTCGCGGCTGCAAACGACCGCTTCACGATTGCTAAGAAACAATTGGAATAAACATTCGAAACGTTCGGCTCGTTATTAGAGATACATCGTATATAATCATTCGCTAAGAATGGGCTAATTCTGGTAATCCGGCGTGAAAAAAATCGACTTCTTTGGGATTTTTTTTCTAAGGAAACCACGATACATTTTGGTATGCAGTTTACGCGCACAGATTTATTCATACTTAGAGTATTTACAATTTTTTTTTTTTTTTTAGCGAAATTAATGAAAGTTGTGATAAATTATATAGTCTTAGGTAGAGCATGTTTTTAAAAACGGGTTCGAGTGGCTGGCGTGATTCCGGTCCACCTGGTTATTTGAAACTAAAAAAACCAGAATGCATCTTAATTAGTATAAATACGGCTATCGCACGAGCCACGGAAACGGCGAAATTTCGAAAATTAAAAAAATGGCAGCATCTTGAAGTTAAAATATGGATTTTCTGTGATTTTTGTCTTTTGAGTGGTAAAAGAAATAAAAAAAAAAATATTAGATATTAAAATCCGTGGTTCACGCGATAAAGGTACGTTCGGTGAAGACCTCCTTCAAATTTCAAGTGAATCGGTCAACTAAAACGTGAGATATCCCGTCAGCCAGTTTAAAAAGTATGGATTTGAGAAAAACACGTATGAAGTTCTTGTTACCCGTTGTACAAAAATATTCATACTTACAATCAATCGAGCAGTACTAAAAATAAAGTACTATAAAATAATAATAATATAAAAATAAATGATAATATTATAAAGTAAAATATTTTTTGAGAAAAACACGTTTGAAGTGTTTGTTACCCGTTGTACAAAAATATTCATACTTACAATCAATCGAGCAGTACAAAAAATAAAATACTATAAAATAATAATAATATAAATAAATAATAATAATAAATAATAATAAAATAAATAATAATAATATAAAATAATAATAAAATAAATAATAATAATATAAAATAATATTGTATATTGTATTTAATATTGTATTTAATATTAAATTATTTGTAGAAATAAAATAAATAATAATAATATAAAATAATAATAAAATAAATAATAATATAAAATAATAATAAAATAAATAATAATATTTTTTGAGAAAAACACATTTGAAGTGTTTTTTACCAGTTGTACAAAAATATTCATACTTACGTTGCGAGCAGTACACCGTTTCCTTTAAACATCTTAATAACTTTGCTAATTTTACGAATTCAAACAAATCCTTTTACATAGACATTTTCGAAAGCACATACTTTGAGAAAATGTGAAAAAAAATTGATTTTTTTAAGCCGAATTACCAGAATAAAATCTTCTTAAAAAAAAGAAATACAATCTAGCGGGAACGATTCAAAGCTACTGGATGAATATTCCAACGATCGACTCGTCGTTCGTATAGTGAAATTTCGCTTGATGTAAATTTGTTGGAGTACAAATAGTTTATGCATTTTCGTTATACGTTCTACAGCTGAAAATAAGAGCAACGCAGCCAATTAGGTAAAAAGTCCAGAAATGCTTCATTAAAATGTTATAACAGAAATATGAAATGTAAAGCTGTGCGTATATTTTTGTGCGCACTTTGGAATGTCATCGTCGTTTTTATCGACGCAAAATTGATGTTGAAACGCTATTGAATTTATTGTGGACAGAATTTCACATCGACTTTATTGAATTCCATACAGTTTCGATTTGCCTCGCGTAGATGTTTCATTGGTTTTCAGAGCAAGTCTAATCGTCAAGTCTAGTGACGTCATAAAACATTTACAATATTTCATTTTTATCTACTGCGTTATTATCACGATGTCAAATATTATTTTAAGATACAATAGTTACTATCAACTTAACTTTATATTGGACAAATAATCGTTGAACGAATCTGAGAAAGATTTTCGATTAATAATGCAACTCTAAATCAATTTCTTTCATTTCACTTTATTTCACCAATAATTATTATAATTATTGTTTTCGTTTATTTAGTAATTTTAAAAATGGGCCCACAGATCCATTTAATTCATTTAAAAATTAATATTTACAAAATCAAATTTTCATCCTTATTTTTCAATTGGAGATGTATTGATTATTATTTATTATTCTCAATTAACTTTTAAAATCTTTATATTCTTAGAGATTCAGATTAATTTTAATATAGTCAACTTCCCTTGTCTTATCCTTTCATTTTATATTTTTGTTTCTTCAACGAACCATTTATGAACGTTTTGCTGTATAATAACATTTTAGTCTTATTTTTAGACATTAGAACGTATTGGCGATGTCTGAAGATTAAAATTCGAGACATTCTGTATAATTAGATTATAATAAAAATTCATTTTGCTAGCAATTTTATCGTTTATAGAATATGAATTTAGATTCAAATAAATGGATTCAATCGGCGAGGGTCCATTTAATTTTCTCAGTTTTGGTTTAACTGTCCGAGTTTATGTTTAGTTTATATTAAATCGGTAAATGAAAATAAAATTTTCACCGCATCACTGGAAGCGTACATATATCTTCAAATAATCAATACATAATACAATCATTAATTCAAAATTAAAAGACAAGCGGATGGGAGGTGATTCCCTAAAAAAATATAGAACAATTTCCATTTTTTTGATTTGAGGCTTCTTTCTCGAGAAAATTAATTTCGAAGTTTGAGTCCAGACAGAAAAGTTAATTAACTAATTAAGAGAGTAAATCAACAACAAGATATTCTGTATGCGAAAACTAGTAAAAACAATGTGGAATAAAGTTTTTCTGCAAGATGCTTCGTTCTCGAGAAGATTGAATTTGAAAATTTATCGAGTACGCGCGTGTCAAGGTTTATTTTCTTGAAAATAAAGATTCAAATGAAACAATAGTTTGCTCTACATTCTTCTTTTAGTTTTTGCACGTAGGATCAATCAATTCGCGCGTCGCGAAAGAATCATGTTAAAATATGTTTATCTCAATTCAATTTAAATTTTACTGTGAGTGAAGAAATATTTCGTTTGCTATTGGAGACAAGCTTTTCGAAATCTGGCAGCCTCGAATCTGTCAGAACAAACTGGCCGCGTATTGGTCGCCGGATGTCATCCGTATATTCGTCCGCCACTTCAAATCAGTTTTAATTTTTCGTCCGACGTGATATGATTGGAGCTGCGTCTTCAATCGGTTGACGAATATTGATCGCCGAGCGAATTTCAATAAAACGCAGTTCTCTGGAACTGCAATTTCAATTTCGTGAATTTGACTGCTCATCAATTATAAATAAATACCTGCGAGTTATAAATAAAAACGGTATAGAAGAATGTTCGAGGTACTTTCGAAATTTATTTTCTCATATCAAGTCATGAATTGAGATAGTCCCGATTTGAGAGAATAATCAGAATCAGAATTCGAATTTTAAGTTGAATTAATTACAATTACAGTGGTTGTTCATATAGAAATATAATAAAAGAAAATGGAGTACAGTATCTTCTTTTGAAACAATTTGTTTTAATTCCCCATTTGGCACTGACTTAATCGATCCAAGAATCAATCCATGACACGCGTCACGGAGATACGAAACCGGTTGTTAAAACACGCAGCCAGCGAGACCGATCAATCCGGACGTACACGGACGACAAACAATTCGTTCGAATACACATCTAGCATAACTGTAACTGTAACCGAAACGATTCCACGTTCGTTCGAATCTCGAGTCCGTGCAAAAAAAAAAAAAGAAAAAAAGAAAAAAAAATGCGAGAAGAATGGTTTGAACACGAACTTTAATGTCGCTTGAATGGTAGTTCAGAACCGTTCCCAAATTTGTGACAAACGTGATCATCGCGAACTTTAATTTCAAACTTGGAACAGATGACACCATCACGACCTGAAATTAACAACTTACGTGAATCGCGTCCACGAGAAGGGACACGTTAGATTTCGCACAGCGATAGAACTGTATCTGTACGCGTGTGTGTTTGTGTACATTTTGTTTGTACGCGTGTGAGTATTCTACGTAAATGATATATACAGGCTGGGTCATCATATATTGCCATCTAGATTTACGTCAATTATTAATTCACGTAGCGAAAAATGTTTCAGATGAAATTGAATGGTTTCGAGAGAGGTACATTTTGATGATACTAGTTTTCTTTCAGGTGGACCTGTAGAGGACATATGAAGGTCATTAACGGTTTTTTAAATGGAATCATATATTTTTTATTGCATCAGTTGATGCACCTTGATATTATTTATAAAAAAGTATTAATCTATTTATGTTAAAAAATCATTAGTTCAGGAGATATTTTAATTTCAATGTTTTTAGGAAATCATGACCCCTTTGTTAATGTTGTCATGACTTTATTTACAGAAAAGGTTCAATGTGACGACATTTTCTGAATCGATAGATTAATAATTCACTCGCATTGTGTAATGTATCTGGTGTTATTTTATTACACTCAGTGATGATACGATCCCTCATATTGTAGTCGGAGGCTCACAATCAGCATACACCTTATTTCCTAAGAACGTTTGAAATTAAAATATCTCCTAAACTAATGATTTTTTAACATGAATACGTTAATACTTTATAAATAATATTAAGGTGCATCAACTGATGCAATAAAAAATATATGATTCCATTTAGGAAAAAAAAAAAACGTTAATGACCTTCATATGTCCTCTACACGTCCACCTGCAAGAAAACTAGTATCATCAAAATGCGCACCTCTCGAGACCATTCAACTTAATTTGAAACATTTTTCGCTACGTGTAATAAGAATTGACGTAAATCTAGATGGCAGTATGTGGTGATCGAATGGCGATGGCAATGTGTGTATAATATATACACATTTCGCGGAATGTAAATATTTTCTCCTTTATTTCGTCAACGATCTACGTGGGAGGAGTGAACAATGAACGTCGATCACTCGAGAACAAGCTAATTACATAATGCGTGTGAGCGCAGTACCACTTCCGGCGGAGTATGGCTCCTGGCAAGAGCCACCCTTTTTTTTTTACGTTCGTGAGTTACGTTCACGCACTTCGACGAATCACCAGCACGACCTCGGCTGAACACTCACCTAAATATCCCCTCCCCCCTTCCCTCCATTCAGCCGTGTCCATTATTAATCGTTCACGCGTGGCCGAGCACGCCAATTAGCCAGCTTGTTAAATCAATAAACAATACAAACGTTGGAAAATTCACTCGTCCGGTGGATGAGATGATGGTTGGGGAAAAAACCCCCCCCCCCCCCCGGCTCGGCCGAATGCTTTTTTTTTCCCCCGTGCCTCAATTCCTCTCTCTGACTGGATCGATGCCGACTTCCGGTCCGTTCGATCTCTTCCCCTGGACACGGTTCGTTATTCAAGCTCGTGCCAGCCCAGGCTCGAGCGTGCGTACGGTGTACCTATACGTAGGCATATACATATATATATATATATATAAATATCCGTGTACGTGTCCCCGTGTACATGTATCGTTCGTATATTTTATTTCACGAAGATTTAACCGGTTTAACAGTAACAATAAACGACAACAGCGATCGCGATACGAGTGACTTTCACGGTATAATAATGAACGATTGAACGAAGACGACAGCGACGGTACGATATATCGGGTGTCGTAAGTAGTCGGATAATAGGCAACGCAGGTTTTTTTTTCTTTTTTTTTTTTCTTCTCGGTAAATGGCGCATTTATAAACAGTCCACCCCAGTGTATCGGTATATCGTGCGATATCGCGCACCGTGCGCATCGTGCACGTGTGATAAACGGTAGTTTAGCCTAAACGTACGTATGTACATCACCAGCCCTTCCTCTCGTCCTTTCCTCTCTCGTCGTCGTGATCCTCGCTCCTTCAGGGGGGATCGCCTTGGACGTCGTTTGACTTTTAGTCGCGTGCGACGAGTTGAAGGAAGTGATGGCTTGCTCACGAACGCCGAAGAGGATCGAAGAAGATCGAAGAAGGCGTATTCGTAGGAACCGGCAGAGCGTGCACAGAAGAAAGAACCGGAAGTGCCTTCGTTAAGCTGGCTCTAGTGATTTTCCTCTTGTCACACAGACATACACAGACATACACACACACACACACACACGTATGCACATGTACACACATTCTTCGCTTTTCGCCCCCTTTTTTTTCCACGGCTGCTCTCCTCTGACAGAGGTGCAGAACCGTTTTTCCGCCGCACTTGCAGACTCGGTAATAATATCCCCTTTTTATTAGCGTGGATTCGCGCTGTTCACTCGCGTCGCGGTCCTTCCTCAGCTGGCTCGGTGGGCGGCGGTGGGTGGGTGATGGGGGAGGGGGGAGGGGGGAGGGGGGGCTCTCTATCGGTTGGCCGGCCGCCAGGGCGCCGCGTTCCCTCAAATCTGAATTACAGAGCCCGCGATACGGTACGTCTCCTCTACAGCTGCGCTACTTGCTCGTTATTAGTTTTGCCCGATGTGTTCGACGTCAGGGAGATCTCCGTCACGCCGACGGACGTCTGCACCGCGGCCGTCAGCGCGCTCTGAAGAGGCATGCTCTCGCTGGTCAGCTCGCATCCCGTGTCTAGAACATGTACAAATCATGCCCCCAAATGGGCGTTTCTTTTATCTTACAGTTCTGTTGACGTATGGGTGTAATTCGAATTAGGAACGTTTTCTTTGGGGAGCAGTTGAGGGGTTTTTTTTTTTTTTTTAAGTTGGTTTGCAGGTCTGTGTAAATATAAGGAGGAAGAGTTTCACGAATTTACTAGCTAGTGTTTTTCTCGTAAGTGTGAGAAAAGAATGAAAGAGTGTGGGCGTAATTCGAATTAGGAACGTTTTCTTTGGGGAGCAGTTGAGGGGTTTTTTGTTTTAAAGTTAGTTTGCAGGTCTGTGTAAATATAAGGAGGAAGAGTTTCACGAATTTACTAGCTGGTGTTTTTCTCGTAAGTGTGAGAAAAGAATGAAAGAGGAAGAAATAAGCAACATGATGATGTATGAAAGGACTAGTGCAGATAAATTTCATACATCATTGCACTGTATGTATTGTATTTTGTATTTGAACTTGAGAAATAGTGCAGATAAGTTTCATACATCATTGTATTCCTCTTTCGTTCTTTTCTTTTCTCGTACTTAGCGTCTAGAGAAACGCGAGTAAACTGTGGAACGTATGATGCACAGTAAGGAACACACGCAACGATGAAAAATTTTTGATAATTTAAACTGATACAACTTCGTAAAAAGACAAGAGTCCACTTGGTCTCGTTTTGAAGCGTAAAGCTTCTACTCTGACAGTCCTGAGTTCGTTTTCTCTTCTTTTCTCAAAGATGACTTTATATCATGCAACTGGCTGGGAAAGTTAGGATATTTCTTCTTTTTGAACGTTGTAAAAATTCGAACGTCTGTAGAAACATTAAAAATAATTTCGTTAATAGATCCACTATCATTTTGAATATCTAAAGAGATCGCTTACTTAATGTACGTTTTTTTTTTATTGAAAAATACAAGAAACCCCAACGTTTCGTCATTTAATTTCAATGTTTAAAGATCAATAAAATTATACAAGTTTTAAAAGATGAGAGTGAACAGAAAATTTCAATTTCCAAGATTTGTCATGGTAAATTTAGCCGTGATAAAAAATTTTTTCAGTGTTTTTGGATTACATATTGTATATATAATATAGATTATACATTATATATAAATAAAATAAAATATATTATATATCATGTTTATTGAATATATATTTAAACATATATATATATATACATGTACAGTATATATTTCTTTTTATAAATACACTGAAAAAATGCGCCTATAAATTGCAGATGCAACTTTTTTTATAAATGGAATCATTTGTTCCTTTTATTATAGACCAATTCGTCGCAACAATCTACATCAAAAAAGCTGCCAGTTTTAACAATATTAAAAAACATTAATAACTCGCGGGATATTTCAAATTTTTTCTTTATAAATTTACTTTTAAATGTTAGTGTACTGAAGCATTTATAAGCATATTTATAAATGGCAATGTACGTATATTATAGCTTGGAATTATACAGAGTAGGTCATCACATATTGCCATCTAGATTTACGTCATTATTATTATATATGTAGCGAAAAATGTTTCAGATGAAATTGAGTGGTTTCGAGAGGGACACACTTTGATGATACTAGTAGGTGGACGTGTAGAGGACATATGAAGGTCATTAACGTTTTTTTAAATGGAATCATATATTTTTTATTGCATCAGTTGATGCACCTTGATATTATTTATAAAAAAGTATTAATCTATTTATGTTAAAAAATCATTAGTTCAGGAGATATTTTAATTTCAATGTTTTTAGGAAATCATGACCCCTTTGTTAATGTTGTCATGACTTTATTTACAGAAAAGGTTCAATGTGACGACATTTTCTGAATCGATAGATTAATAATTCACTCGCATTGTGTAATGTATCTAGTGGTATTTTATTACACTCAGTGATGATACGATCTCTCATATTGGCCATTGTAGTCGGAGGCTCACAATCAGCGTACACCTTATTTCCTAACAACGTTTAAAATTAAAATATCTCCTGAACTAATGATTTTTTAACATAAATAGGTTAATACTTTTTTTTGTGCATCAACTGATGCAATAAAAAATATATGATCCCATTTAAAAAAACGTTAATGATCTTCATATGTCCTCTACGCGTCCACAAGAAAACTAGCATCATCAAAATGTGCATCTCTCGAAATCATTCAACTTCATCTGAAACATTTTTCGTAAATAATAATGACGTAAATCTAGATGACAATGTATGGTGAGCCACCCTGTATACTAATTGCCGAAAGAATCACTCGACATTTGTCTCAGATAAACCAGCGTCCTCGCATCAGGTCTAGACTACATACACAGTTTCGTTCGATCTTTATTAAAAAAAAAAAAAAAAACTCGCAGCACTCTTCTGGAGAACGTCACCAGTGACAGTTATAGTTCCGCCAACTTGACGCTTTAATTTGCAACATTATGCATCACGCCGTGTGTATGTATGTATATCGACTCGAGCGATTATGGTACACGCTGTGCTATTTAGTCGATGGAGTCTTCTGAAAGTCGACAAGGAAGGTTTTAATGGCAGAGTGGAGTACCATTTACGATCGGCTAGGGTTATTAGGTTGAATATCGTTTTCAGAGGAGGATGTTACGACAGCTGGCGTGAAATTTATTGACCGTTAAAGCTCCATTAACGCTCCCGTTAACGCCTCGCTCTCTCCACCCTTCCTCGCCCTCCTCTTTAAAGACGGGAAACGTCATTTCGGCATAAGTGGCAAATTCATTTTAAGCGAACCGCCCTCTCTCGCGCTTTTCGTAAATCCTGGACACTTCGCGTCGTGCAGACGCGATTGCAGACAAAACGTGAAACGAAAAGAGGGGGCGGGAGAAGAGGAAACGACGAGATTTGAATTGGAATTGACGTGCTTGTTTGCGAAAATCGCGGTAATTCCGCGGGGGGGAAACAACGACGCGGTGTCGTGTAATTAGGGAAAGTTCGTAGGTATTTCGCAGTAGGTGCAACGGAAAGTCGGGAATGGAAGGGGAGGTGGGGCTCGTTTTGCAGGAAGGCAGTTTGAACTTCCCGAAACAGCACTCGGAAATGAAAATTTCCACTATTAGTTTCGAAACTTAACTCCCGGAGTTGGAAAGAACAAACGCCGGGGCCGGCCATCGTGCCCGACCCTCCCGCGATCGTTCGAGGTTTGAATCGCTTTAATTAGAATTGATATTTGTATAGGTGACCGCCTCTTTATTTTCTCGCGATTAATTTATATCTATATAGCAGTTCCCTCGCGACTAATTAAAATTCCTAAAAAATTAAGATTAAAAAGGGAAAGTGATTGCAGCGTTATCTTTAACCTTCCGTCATTTTTAGGATAAAATTTGATATTTTTAAAGTTATATTTTTATATTTTATATTTTATATTTAAAGTCATATTTTTGTATTTTATACTTTATGTTTAAAGTTATATTTTTAAAATTATATTTTACTTGGGATAAAATAAAAAATAATAAATTATTTCGATCAATCTTGTTACTGTTATATTTAGAAAAATGTAACTTTTACGAAAAAGTAAGATTTTTATTTTAATGTGAAATTCAGACATATCGTTTTTAAATAATTCCTTATTTGAGTTAATTTAGTTATTCAAATAAAATAACAAATAATCTGTATTTATGACATGGTTGAAAATGTTGATACACTGGGATTAGAAAGTATTTTAGATATTACTTCAATGAAAATTTATTCAGATACAAAGTAGAAAGTAAAATAAAGAGTTAAACAAAATGAAATAATCTAGAGAAAAATTATTTTCGTGTCCAAATTAACTAACGTATAATTATTTTAAATAACATCTAACTAGATATAATAAGATATATTATCTAATTCATCATTTGAGTAATGTTTATACATAATAAAGCAATAATAATAATAATAATAATAAAGTACTACAAATAGTATACTAATAATACTAATAATAAAATAGTATAATAGTAATAGTATAATAGTAAAATAAAGTAATTATTAATAATAATATAATAAATATTGAATGAATTGAACAATACTCTGTATCTACAGATTAAAAGTTACATATCCACATTTCCAAAACTTTATTTCATATATTTATTTTTCTGCTGTTGTACATCAATTCAACACTTTAAAAATATCAAATGATCTATCTATAATATAACTTTTGGAGAAATTAAATTAATTAGACTTAACTAATAATCTCTTTCTCTCGTAAATAAACGAAATTTTGCTCATGAAAGACTAACTCGTCGACCTTAAAATTGTCAAACATATCGAAATACATTTCAGATTTCATTGTTTTGTAATCGCTTTCAGTAAGACTTATATGGATTTTCATTAACACGAATTTTTCACACTGTAGACTGCAAAATTCCTAAAAAAAAAAGTACTTGACAAAAAATACGGGGCGGTTTTTGACTCAAACAGGATGAAAAAATACGCGTGTAGAGTTTTCTGTTGCCACGTGACGATTGATCGTCGACATTTATAGTAAAAATAATCTATGTCGCAGCAAAAAGGATTTTAATCTATCGAACAGTAATTGTTTCTGTGCTTGTTGCGTTAATCTGAGTAAAATTTTCCAAATAAATGCCTATACTTCTTACGTTTATTTTGTTTTAAAAAAGAAAGAAATTTTCCAAATAAATACCTATACTTCTTACGTATATTTTGTTTTAAAAAAGAAGGAAATTTTCCAAATAAATGCCTATACTTTTTACGTTTATTTTGTTTTAAAAAAGAAGGAAATTTTCCAAATAAATGCCTATACTTCTTACGTTTATTTTGTTTTAAAAAAGAAGGAAATTTTCCAAATAAATACCTCTACTTCTTACGTTTATTTTGTTTTAAAAAAGAAAGAAATTTTCCAAATAAATACCTATACTTTTTACGTTTATTTTGTTTTAAAAAAGAAGGAAATTTTCCAAATAAATACCTATACTTCTTACATTTATTTTGTTTTAAAAAAGGAAGAAATTCTCCAAATAAATACCTATACTTTTTACGTATATTT